GTGCGCGCTGATCTCCACGCCAGTGTGTCTGTTGGAGTTTCTTCAGGAAAGCAACCGACTGAGAAGTGATCCCACATGTGAAAGTGAGACTATATATTGCTTTGAGCTCGGTGCGGTCAGAATGGAGGCAGAAATATCTCAGACAAAGCCTCTCTGCTGTGTTGTGTGTGCGCTGCGAATGCTCTCGGTAGATTCTCTGTGTGTGACCTGAGCATGACATGAGTGGTTTCAAGGGGAAATGCGGCGTTTCCTGCACAGCAGAGATGGAAAGCAGTGCGTGCTTGTATAAGTGTTATGATGTGATGCCGACAGGAGGAAGGCAGCCCTCTGGTCAGGGAACTGCTCGGGATCAAGCCGGTCGAGCTGAGCGGTTAGTCTGATGTGTGGACAAAGTGACTTGTGGCGGAGTGTTGGGATGCGGCGCTCCACAAAGGCTGTTTGTTCAACCTACAATGTTTTATGTATGTGGTTAGTCTTTCATCAGCACACTCAGTATTCAATTTACATACTGTCTACTGATCCGGCACTGAATGTTAAGCTGTTTATGCTCTCTCAGCCACTTTATTCTGACACCGAGGTGTGTGCGTGGAAGTGCGCCCGCGTGGGTGTGTGTCTTAGACAGATTGCTTTGCCCCCTCCGCCCCCTCCCCTGTGGTTGTGCAGTATTGTGTTCTGGTAATAATGATGGGTTCTGTGCCTCCCAGTCTCCTTCCCAGCAGGACACACACATAAAAGGGTCCTTCTCGGGGCAGCCATGCGTGCGCGTGTCTCTGTGTTGTTTTTGCGACTCCGTGTGTGTGTGTGTGTGTGTGTGTGTGTGTGTGTGTTTGCGTGTGCATATGTGCGCATCTTTGTGTGATTCTAAGAACATCATTTTCGGCGGTGCATGCTGATTGTGCTTCATACTGTGCGCGTGTCCAACCCATCAAGGTTCACATTGGTACGCTCTCTCTCCCACCTCTCCCTTTTTCCATCTATCTTTCCGTTCCCCTATTTCTCCTCCCCGTATGACATTTCTGCTGTCCTCAGACTACTTCTCTGCACTTCCCTTGTGCATATCAGCTATTGGATTTTTACCAGTGGAGCCTCTCCTTTTTTTTTTCTTTCTTTTTTTTTTGCTATTGCAAATCGAAGCAGGCTCACTTCAGAAAACAACAGTTCCTCGTGGAAAAACTTTGGATTCCAAATGCCGTCTGTAATATATATATATATACTAGCTGAGAATGTCATCCATTGCCTGGCAGCTGTGAATATCCTCACCGAAGAACATCTGCTGTAGTCAACAGGGAACAAAACAGGCAAGAGGTGGACTGTTGGAAAGACAGGGAAAATGAGATGTTGCTCATTGAAAGTAAGATGAGTGGAAGCAACCTGTGTGCCTGGTCCATGACGACTGGCGTAATGCCTGAGCCCCTGATGCGCACCAAACAACCACACAGGAAAAAATCTTGAAAAGAAGCGTCTCGGCCGGCTTCGCTCTCACTCTGGCGTGGTTTGTTTGTAGTGTCAAATCAAAGCAGACTGAATTTTTTGATAGCATTCAAAAGCTAAGCCACTATTAAATGATCCACTCCATTCGGTAGTCATGGGAGCTCTCAAGGAAGCCGTCTATTTAAGTCTAAGACTCTGCACCAACATCAGTATTAAAGTAAGACGCCCGTTTTTCATCTCCAGGCTGCTGTTTCTTTGTTCCTGGCATTCAGTATGAGGTCCGGCAGCAGTTGTCTAATAATTGTCCTAATTAACTGTTTCTGTTACTTTTTCTATTGAGACGGTGGAGAAACGAGCGCTACATGTTGTGCAGTTTTCCAGCGTTACTCTGTGGAAAACAGCAGGCAAACGTGGGTAAAAATCACAAGCGTTCCACAAAATAAACAGCTCTTTGCATGAATAATTAGGAAGCGTTGTGAAGTCACAGACACGCCTGACCTTCGGAGATGCTCCTCATTTACCCTGAAACTCTGCAACGCAGCTCGAGGGTGCAAGACCTGTGAACTCTGGGTGGGAATTCCACAGCTGAGAAAACCTCCATGTTAGCGTCCAGCGTGCTGCCAACCCACTCTGGTCTGTCTCTTGTCATCTGTGGCTTTGTGTCATTTAAACAAAACAGCATTTTAAGGTGGACTTTTATAGTCAGTGTATCACTGAGTTGCTGTAAAGCTGCACCTGACGAGGCTGTGAATCAGCTCAGCAGCTGCAAAAGCTCCAAAACGTTTTGTGCACAAAAGCGATTTTCTTAGAAATGACTGAAATGAGATTTTGAACTTTTTCTCTGAGTCAGTCTGACAGCTTCAAATCCTGGGACCTGCAGTTTGTTTTCTGACCACCCGCTCTTGCTAGATTGGGTCGCCAAGGATCCACGAGAGTCTGGTCCCAGTGCCGTCCTCTGCCTGGTGTCTCTGGTGTCTTTATGCGTTTGCACTTCAGACCAAATTGCTGTACGAAACAACTCTTCCTAGGAGTGTGATGTGGATTACTAGAGTTGATTCTATCTAAAGATTCATATTTACAAGAACCGTGGTCGAGCCTCACATATCGAGCCTTGATGATTGATGTTAATTTATGTCTTGAATTTTCAGTTTCAGTTTAAACATGAATGGATATGCTGTGAAAACTTGAATCTAGTCTCATAAAACAATTAAAATAATGTAATGCTGTAAAACAACAAAAAATAAAACAGACCTGAACTGCAGAAAACAGGAAGCTGAATCCCCCACTGAGAGCAAAGTAAAGACTCATTGACTTCAGGTGACCTTGTTGTTCTGTTGCTTTGTTCGTATGTAGTTATGTGCGCCGTGTCAGAGGTTCCCTCGAAACTAATTGCGTAATTTGAATTTGCATACAATCAAGTAGTGCTCATCATCTTAGGAATAGTACGAGCATTATGTTAAAGTGTTCAACACAGCGAGACCGAACCGACCAATCAGGCAATAAAATGCTCTTCTCTAGTTTCCTTTTGAAGAAGCTCCAAAGGTTAAAATGAGCTTTCACTGCAGATCAGACAGGATGATGTGCACATTCATCCTGTGCACACGCAGGCCAGATGATGTCCATCCTGAACTTTATATTGTTTTTTTATTGGTACATGCTGGAGCTTCTGTCTGCTGTAATCTGTGGTGAAATGCTGAAGCAGTGATTTCACAACACTTCCCTTCTGTGATGACTGTTGATGGACAGTGGTTTTGTAGCTGCTGTTTATCACCATAGATAGATGTTGTCAGCTCCTGTGGTTGCAAAAAGAAGTCAGATTGTATTAAAGTCTATGACAAAATGACAATACTTGTCCCTTGACCCGCTGGCTGCCCTCGTTAGGTCCTCGTCCAGCAGCAGTCTTCTCTTGAACATTGCCATGCGTGAAGTAGCCCCGTTGTTGTGGGTTTCCCATCCATTGGTTGTGCTCTTAACTTGCTGGCTATCCCATGAGTAGTAACTTACTCATTAAGTGAGCCTTTAACACACAAGCTAAACTTACAAACTGTGGCTCTGTGACACCCCTCAGTATCTCCATTAGTGCAGCAACAACTTATGAAGTGCTTTTGACAACAGTAGCACCATGTCTGCCTTCTTTGTACGGTTTCTGACCACAGGTGTGCAGGTGCCTCCACGACTACGTTATTCAGCAGCAGTAAATCACGATGACATCCACCCCGGTTTTAGCATCAAATCACTGATCATACTTCAACATGTGACCAGATGTAGTCGCACATCCTAATCGTTTTCTGGCAATATGTATATGTATATGTATATATACAGTGCTGAACAAATTTATGAGACCAACTGTCTAATGTAGCTCTCCATGTTTTACCATTTTGAACAGGAATGAGGAATTTCTAACTGAATTCACCTTTTTCTACCC